CGTTATTGCTAGGATTAAAGTGTATATTGTCTGCAAGGAATTTTCCTCGTGTTCTTGCAAATCTGCAAATAAAGATGTTAATTGGCTAAATCTACTTTGGTATCAACTCCTTCCTCTAGCTTTACCACTCAGGCATCGCGACTGTGCTTCGAAATTATGACATATGTATGACTATATGTATATTCCTTCTAAAGATAAGGTATCCAGATATTAATTGTAAACTAGAATACTTAAATTTTCACCTAAATCGAAATAAAGCATGAGGGAATCAGCGCAGATATAAAATAAAAGTTTAAACCTTTGTTCAATGAATATGCGTGAAAAAATATCAGTAAAATGAAATCACTTTATCATCACAAAACAGTTTTTAAACATCCCATGCAACTCATTAACAGGGTATTACATTTAGCAGTCGTTTTATATATTTATTACATAGAAAATGTATTATAGATAATAGAAGATTTACATAGAAATTGATTTCAAAATTGTACAGCTTCTGGTCAACAGACTATAATATCCTAGAATATGATAAACTATAATTGTACAGATATGATGGAAATACATTAAAGAACATCCTTATTGGAGTAAATAAATTCTGCTCATTGCTGAAGGCAAAGGAATGAGCAAAAGAATTCATTCACACGAAATAACAGTTGAATGAAGCTCAGCTAGAACCAGTCACAGCTGTAAATGATGATTCGTGGAAATTCTTTTGTATATGATGGCATAGAGTTTATTTATACTGAGAGGGTGTTCGTTGCTCAATTTCCCGATCTCTTTGTCAAGTTACTGCGTTTATGTTTCAGGATTTTTGTTTCTAATATTGCACATTAAGAGTTCCTAGAGACGTATTTCTTTCCTAATATTTCTACAAGTATCTCAAAGGTAGGTTCTTGAGACAAAACAAATAATACTTTTCTTTGGATCATAAAAACATAGTGTCATAAGAAGCTTGCAATATACGATTTGGTCCACGTAATATTAATCGAAATTTTATTTGAGATTTATTGATGAATTCGGTCTCTCCTTATTTACATCTGTGTCCCAGTCTTTACAATGCATTTTTTTTTTTTTTGCATATTTATGCAATTCTATATGTGCATATATTTTTATTTGTTTGCACTTAATTGTCACATGATGAATACTGATTCTGAGTTATTTTATATACTTTTAATTAATTTATTATATGTATTATTTATTTTGTGTTATTTAGAACATTTATAAATTTGAGTATATGTGTGAACAAACAATAATTATACTTTATGTATTCATTTCGTCACAATTTTTCAATACAATTTCGATGCCCTTTATGAAAATTCGATTTCCCAAAAGATTCAAATTAGTGCATTTTTACCATAAGCAAAATAATTTTAAGGAATTAGCTCATATAAGCAAACGGGCATTTACTTATACGTAGAAAACTCTAAATCGAAGGGAGGATTCAGCATTTACCTTATAAATGAGCGCAGGAAAGTATACTTAATTCTGATGTAACAATACAGGCTTAGAGCAGTATTTTCAAGTTTGTTGATTTCCTACGAATTACCGCAGCTTAGGAGAAAAAAGTCTACCAACTTTAGTAACCAAATATACACCATCTTAGTTTTACATTATGAATAGTATAGCAAATTTCGCCTTTACGCATTGAAGCATGTAAACTATACACACAGGTAGTCTAATGGATACAAATGATGATAAGATAATAAATGACCTCTCCTACATCTTCCGCTACCAAATGCCAAAGGGCTCGATGCACCATCATCACTGTCACCACAGTTACGCTTCCGTGCATATTTGCTATGTTTCCAAATTCGGGAATTGAAATTTTATCGAACATATGTCGTTTCTGTTCACATAATCTATGCATTTATCATATCATCAATTTTATGTTTTTATGCGTTTTTTATGTTTTTCTTAAGAGATGCTTAATATTATTCGAAAGTTTTATTTTCCCTTGAAGACGAGCAAACATTTGAAATTATTTTCCTTTCGTATTAAAATTAGTTATGCTTTCGACTTATGCCATTTCGACTTACGAAAGACTTAACAGGATTGTTGTTGTATTTCCGAAAATATAATTTTGTATAAATATACATACTAAAATTGCGTGATTAATCATGAGCAAAACTGGTGCTATATCCTTTCACGAGCTAGACAGACTTGTCAGTTACCTGTCTCTGTTTCTCTCTGTATGTATTATACGTGCATGTGTGTGTGTGCGTGTGTTTGTGCGTATAGGGGTAAAAATAAGGTATATATATGTATAAATATAGATGCGTCGTATATATTTTGCATATATGTAACCAGCAAAATAGGAAATATTTTTTTTGTTTCGAATATCACGAATTCATTTCGAGTCATGAGATTACAATTGATTTGTAAACCGATTGGATAATGACGATCAGATTAGCGTCGAGCGCATGATGACATGCTTACCGAAGAGATTTCTGTTTCTGCTACCCGTTATGTGTGTTTAAACGAAACCAGTAATGCATATGCATGCACGATAAGTCATAAAAATTCACACCTTCGGAGGCCTTTACTAGCAAAGCTGATGAAATAGAAATAATATAATAAAATACTAATAATATTATATAATTGTCTATAAGGTATTTTCTCCCTCTTTCCAGCAAGCCTTAGTGGTGTAACGAAAGCAGTCTCGGCGCATATTCGAGAAATCCGGGTTCGAGTTCCGGAGAGGGCAATGCACAATTTTTCTGTCTCCTGCTTCAAACCTCCTAATGACTCTACAAGCCTTATCATGACCTTTTTTCATACTTTGTCTAAATAGCATCTCTTATTCTATAAAATGCCTTGATATTATATACAGTGCATATAAAAATATGTAAAAATTCTCATATTTTATACTTTGCCTAAAAACGCCAGGCATTCTATAAAATGACTAGGCTTTCAATAGGAAGCCGACGATTCTTACATTCTCGGTAGCACACGCACACAGACACAAAGTTAATAAATAAAAAAAAAAAACAGATGATAACTGGCTAACTACAAGAGAAAGAGAACAAGAGTTGAAAAAACCAAAAATGAAATAAAATATCCACATTCCTCATCACATCTGTGAGGGATGTGGTGATTGCATCTCACCGGTACAATGAAAGCAGTAAATGAGTCAGTCCGTTTTTGAATAAATAAAAAAATTAAAGTTTAAAACCTTACTTACAGAGTTTAATTTAATTGTTTTTCTGACTTTTTTTTAAAGTTTTAACTGAAACCTGTGTCTTTTTGGATCAGAAACAGGCTGTTTTGTTTACTTCTTTCTTCCCACCGGACCCTGGTAGATATGCGGCGAGGGATGCGGATTTCTTACTCCATTTTCTACCATCCCTTTTTTGTAGTTAGTCAGTGGGCTTTTGGTTTTATGTTTTTTGATTTCTTGTTTTTGCATATATTTATTACGGATTGAGTTTGCAATAAATTTTAAGTGTTGTATATTTTAATTTATTTTTTATACATTTATTCCCATTTCTTGCTCCTTTCAGCGAGCAATGTAATAAGGTCTTGAACTACACTTAAATCTGTATTCATTCTTTTATATATATATATGTATGTATATATTTTTCATTCTTTCATACATATATTTCATTCTTTATAGACATATATATATATATATAAAAGACGTAAAGTAAGAAATTTAGAACAAATTTTTCACAAAGACCAAAAATTGAAATTTATAAGTAATAAATTTCAAATAATCCTATAACTCCAAAAAGAAATTTAAAAATATGGTAAAAGCAAAACATTGCAACCAAGCAATAACCCAATTAAAAATATCAATGAAATTCAATGAAAAAAAGGATAAAATAAAAGTGGAATTCAGTCACCTTCAATACCACTTCGTCACGAGGAAGAACACTGAAACAAATTGAAATCTCTTTTCCACAAAAATCCTAGTTTTACTGTATCCAGAATTAGTCGGTGAACCATTTCAATATATTTTAATTATAATAGTTCACCCGAAAATTCAGGTCCCCCCCAAAGCAAGGAAAAAACAAAGTAAATTCTAATTAGAATCTTGTACCTTAAATAAAGAGAATTCTAGTTAAAGAAGGAAAACGTGTAAGAAATAATAAAATACTTCAGTGAAAAATTCATATCAAAATTTTACCTTAAAACAAATAAAACATAATCCAAAAATTGAAACCATTAAGTGAAATGCGTGAAAAATGAACTGAAAGAATGAAACTCGTAGCGCAAAAATACTAATAATTAATGCGCGAAAATACTATTCATGATTATATTATGTTTTAAAAAATGTTTTATAATTATATATATAAATATTCGTGTGTGCGAGCGTGCGCAGATTTTACATACGGGTAAACCATACCTGTATGTACTATATATATGTGTGTGTATGCATGATGCATGTGTAGAATATCCATGCCTGTATACTTTATTTATGCAATAAGTATATTTATCAAAAGTAATAATAATGAAGAAGCAAATGTAAAACATATAGGACTGAAGATAATTTTAGAAGATATGTCATAACATAACGCTTTAGCTGAAAAATCGACACAGATAAAATATTATTAATAATCAAGTAAGCATAAGAATCTTGTAAGAATGTATTATAGTAAGATTTTAAGTTATAATGAAATGAAACATTATAACTTAAAATTGAAACCATACTCCCGGATGCCTGTTGAAACTCCTCGCGGATGAGGGCCATCGGTTGGCGGTTCTTCCGAATTTCTCTGGACAGCAATCGTCGGTCTCTATCTCCCAGTTTCGTTGGTCTGCCGACTCGGGGCACATTCCGACAATCACCGATAACCTTCCACTTCTTAATCACATAGGCCACTGTCGATTTAAATAATAATGCGTTACATCTGTGATATTTTTTCTTTACAGTAGCTAAAAGTCTTTTTATCATTAAATCATATGATTATCATATCCTTTTTTATCATTAAATTCCTTGCAACATTATTATTATATATATATATATTATAATGCTTGAAATTACATAACTAATTTTTCAGGGATCCCAATGGACATCATGGGAATCAGGAAAACAATGAAAAAGGCAAAGGAAAGATTGAAAAGCTGCCATGGCCAGAATATAATGAAACACATCAAAAATTTCTATTATTTGGTAAGTGCCTTTTGTATCATCATGTGTTGCAAATATGAAACGTATAGATTTTGAACTGAATACGAGAAAGTGAAATTTTTATAAACTTAATTGCAATAAACATGTCCTAGCAGAATTGTTCAATGGCATTTAGCCGCCGTAATTTAAATAACTGGACTATTATATCATAATATACTTTCAATGATATCTAAATAAATATTCAGCTACTAAGCGAAGGCTGTTGACTTTTGGGCAGATAAAAACAAAGAGGTATGGCTAGTCATTAAATAGTACACCGACTACCAATAATTATTTGGACACCTGTGATAGAAGAGAAAAACTAACTTTATTCAAAATCAGTAGTTGGTAGAGCATCCACGAGAGGTAATTGCAGCGTGGAACCTCCGGGGCATACTTTCCACAAGTCTTTCTATGACAGCTAGTGGTATTTTCTTCCACTCGGCTTGCAGAAGACATAGAAGTTCCTTCACCGATTTTGCACGGGTAGTGCACCCCTGAATTCGGCGATGCAACTCGTCCCAGAGGTTCTCGATAGGGTTCAGATCTGGACTCTGGGCAGCCAGACCATTCAGTGAACTCCATTGGCACAATACCAAGCCTTGGTTAACGTCCAAACATGACAACTGGCATTGTCGTTCTGAAAGTAACAGGAGTACAACCCGTAAAACTGCCGCAACGTAGGAACCATCCAAAACAGTCATCCAAAATAGTGCAGTATTGTCATCCAAAATATTGTCATCCAAAATATTGTCATCCAAAATAGTGCAGTATTCCAAAAATTATATATTATATATATATTATATATAACAATATCCAAAAATTGTCATCCAAAATAGTGCAGTAGGAATCGGAGTTGAGCTTACCATGAATGGGGACCAAGGGTTCCAGCCCATACCAGTAGAAACACCCCCAGACCGTAATTCCGCCTCCGCCGAACTTGACTGTTGGCACAATGCATTCCGGCAGGAGACGTTCTCCAGGTAGACGCCAGACCCAGACCCTGCCATCCGAACGGTAAAGGGAGAACCTTGATTCATCACTCCAAAGAACCCGTTTCCACTGATCTACGTTCCAATTTCGATGTTCTTTGCACCACATTAACTGAGCAGCGCGGTTGGACTTTGTGATCAAAGGCTTATGGGCAGCAGCTCGACCATGAACACCAAGCAGATGTGTTTCCTTATGGATGGTATTCATTGTAACAATACTCCCGGATGCCTGTTGAAACTCCTCGCGGATGAGGGCCATCGGTTGGGTGCGGTTCTTCCGAATTTCTCTGGACAGCACTCGTCGGTCTCTATCTCCCAGTTTCGTTGGTCTGCCGACTCGGGGCACATTCCGACAATCATTGCTAACCTTCCACTTCTTAATCACATAGGCGACTGTCGATTTTGGGTAGTTCAGATCGCCAGATATGTCCTTTAAGGATCGGCCACATTTGTGATACCCGATAATTATACCTTTCTCGAAATCGGAGAGCTCCGAACTGCGAGGCATCTTGCATACGACTAAAGCCGATGCTGTTTCCTACACGATATATACCGGCGGAGTCCGTGATGTACCTTAGGACCGCAGATATCGTCATTTGCATAGGTTTCCAAATACTTATTTGTAGTCAATGTACAACTTAAGCATTACCTGCTTTATTCTGTTGTTGCTGTTGAGTAGTTTTGGTCTGCGTAGCGTGTCTGTTATTATTCGAGAAAGCATCTGACTCTTTCTTTCAGTTGTTGTTAGAACATTTACACCCTACAATATCTTATGCAAAGGCATAAGATTAACGTGGCGATTATTATGTCTAAAGGCTGAAAAGCTGTGTACTGTTATGATTTGCAAAATAATTGATAGTCTTTATAACGCGTAAATTTTCAGTTTTTCCAAATTGCATAGATAATCTCTGCGAAGAGAGATATAACAGAATAGCATAAAGTAATGTTTGTCTTGGCGCATTGCGAAAAACCGAGCCGTAGATGTTTTTAAGTAAAAATTAATATGTGTTATTGATTTATTTCATTGGGACTCTTTGGATATTTTCCCCAAAGCTAGGTACGAATGAATTTCAAATAAAGTTATTGCGTTATCTTATATCTTATTTCAAAAATCTAAATTCGCAGATTTTGTCAAATTAGGTGAAATAATAAATTGTGTGATAAATGGATTATGGTATATATGCGATGTTTCAGTATATGTTGGTTAAGCAGAAACAGCCTATTTGCAGTTTTTGACACTTTCAATAGACTATCGCAATTTTCTTTGAGTAGGCCATGTGTATACTTCGAGGTGATTTATTTATAACAAGCAGTGCTTATTAGGACTAAATTTGGAAATCAGTTATCATTACAGGTTAGTAATTGAGGTATCATTGCAAGTAAATGAAAACAATTTATTCAGCCATGTTTTATTGATCATTATCCTCAAAAGTATAAGTGTAGTTTTAATTCAAAGAAACCTTTATTTCGTCGTCTTTTAAAAATAAGTTATTGTGAACGGCTGCAAAAGAATAAATTGTTTTAGGATGGTGGTTTTAGGATTGAATAAGTCTTGGATTCTTTCCAAGCTTATACGGTAAAAAAGCTAATTATTCCTCGGAATGCGCTTCACTTGTAGGAAACCATTCTAAAAGAATTAGGTATTAATTTCAAACATAAATCAAATAGTTCCAACTTCTGATTCTTTAAGAAATGTGATAAATTACTCTTGCCTTGAAAATGGTGACTTCTTTTTCTTTCGGCTGGTCGTTTGACTTTTTATCCTTGTCGTATTCGTAATGAAGTTTTTAAGGCAGAATTCTTTAAAATAAATTTAGGAAAGTACGGTTTCTTGAGAAAGAACAATTTCTCGCAGCACACATGAATTTGAATGCCATTAAAAATGAGGGAATAAATTTAAATCCTGTGGAGTGATATGTTGCGTCCGTACTCATTATGGCAGGATCTGTTTTTATACAAGGCACAAGTTTTGTGCACAAATTGGTTAAGCTGTTTCGATTGGTATAACCATATGAAGACAAAATTTTATGTTGATTTTTCTTGCTCTAAAATACATATATTAAAGATTTCACTGAAGCGAAGTTACTGTAGGTAATCTAATTTGAGAATTATCTAAAATAAAAAAGGAGACTATTTTAATACATCAAGCAAGAAATATATAACTCAGTTTTGAGTTGTCTATTTTTAAGTCTACTAATACTAGAGGTAAGACGAATCATTAACGTATTGACAAAGAATGCTTCAAGATGGTTAAAAAACTTGCAAGATAGTAAAACACGTTCATTTTCTTTCTTCTTTTTAATGTCATTCTACCGGAAAGAAAAATAAGTTATTTGCTTCATGTAACTTTATAAAGAAATAGTATTATCCCCGCCCGCCGCTCAACAGGGATGATGGTTAGTGACTCTCAGAGCCGTACCGAAGGAGCCGGCTTCGAATCCCGGAGAAGGCATGAATGTCTGTAAATGTAAAGTGTCTGTGCATCATGGGAATACTTCAAATATGCAGCAAATCGAAAGTTTCTCTCAAGAAGCTGGTGGTAGGGAACGAAGGGTGGGATACCTTTGAACCCTTGCCCCGAGCTACTCTCTCTCAAATTTGAGGGCGGCACTGCGCTAAAATCGGCCTGTCACCTATACGGTTCTGAAAGCTCCTAATAACGACTGGTGCATTTAACTCCTTACCGCAATGAATATCGTGGGCTTGCGCTGACCATTTTCAGGTAAGACGGTAACAACAGAAATGAAATATTTCCTCTGAAATATATTAAATGGCAGGACGCTTGCGCCAAATGGCTTTACGTAACATTGTCTAAGTAGCACTATAAAGATTGCAAAAACGGTGTAGCCACTCTCCAGATACTCGATCCAGGACAACTAATCACGACTCGAACCTCCAAGCGAGACTACTTTTCTAAACGTCTTTCCACTTCAATCCGCCTGGCGCGTATGCAAACGTACTTTACGTACCCGAACAAACTCTGCTAGACATCTAGTGCCATCTACCTACTTTCTGGGGGTAAAGTATTCCCTCCACAATAATTATAAATGCTCATGCTTATAACCTTTTTTTGAAGCCACCTACGTACTTCTATAATAAGTATTCTCATCTAATTGTTATATGTACAGGTATCACTAAGGTACTCTTCTGTACGATAAAAGTGAAATTTCCTTGGTTGTAAGATCGATTTGTGAATTGTCCGATTCCTGCGTACTGCTTCACCTAAGCATATACGATAATATCAGCTTTATAAGGAACATTAATGAAAAGTAATAGAGCTTTTTTTGGTTACCTAATACATTCAATTTTGGACGTCACATATGTATTTGTATATCTCAAATAATAAAAGCAACCCAATAATAAGCGCCAAAAGTTCCTAAATTCACTGTATCTTACATGTTTGGCAGTAGCAAACGTATGCGGTATAAAGAATTTGACAATCCTTAAAAGTTTCATACCTCTCTAATTAAGTCCAGTGTTATAACTCAAAATTCTAAATAAAACAAAATCTGAAAGGTTTCAAATCTTAACGGTCACCCAAAAGGGATTGTTAAGGTTTTTTACGCTTTTGTTCGAGCTGTCATTCTACCACTCTGCTGTTACACTCACTCCAACTAATCCATTTAGTTTTGTCTTTTTAGCGGTATTATTAAGCATCATTTTCTTCGCACTCAAGACAAACGCTAAACTTTTTCTGTTTTTTTCCCTCAGTTAATCATATCAATATTCAGTTTTCTTACTAAGATGGTGTTTTAGGTTTTGCAATTTTTTCTCTTTTTATTAATAATAATTACTTTGCTTACATTACTATACAAGGTATTTCTCCCATCTTCTTGGCGTGCCTTCGTGTTTAGTGGTTCTGCATGCTGGGCCGGTATTCCAGAGGTCCGTGGTTCGATTCCCGGTGAAAGCCTTTGCTCATTTTTCATCTTACCTGCTTCCAAAAAATCTTAATGCCTCTACAACGTATTAAATGTCACGCTTTTGGTGCGTAAAACTCGATTCAACAGCAAGATCACAAAATATTTAAAAACAACATTTCTTTAGAATTTCCGACATACAGTCTTTCGAGCTGAAGATAAACATCTTTTGTTTCGTTCAATGCTGTCACTGTTCGCTCTGAAATCGTAGTGTTTGTTAATAAAAAATCCTCAAATATTTACAAAATATGAAACCGATAATAAAAGAGATTCGAAATTCAAATTTCGGATGTTTCCGGTTGCCCATGTTTGGAGGAAGGCCTAGGTTACTCAATGAATCTGACAGCTCTAGGTACTGTTGTCGTTTTACAATGCGAGAGACATTGGGGAAGGTTGCTATTGGTGGGTTACTTTTACAAAATGATCATTAAAATCCTCAAATTTGGAAATTTGACAGTTTTATACACGTTAATGCAAATATTACTTTACATACTACGTATATCTACGAACAAATGTTATAATTTTGAAGTGTCAGTAAATATTAAAAAAATAAAAATACGTGCCACTGGTCAAATCAAGGAAACCGCTCACTTCGATTAAGCCGGGGAGTTTCCATGAGTGGGTCGGTAGGTATTTTCTTTTTAATGTAGTATCATCTTAGTACAAGTCAATAAAACGTTTAAAACTATTTTGAGCTTGATTCACAAATTTAAAATGCTGGTTAGAAACTAACACAGACCACTGAAAGTGCATTGAAACATATTGATAACTTCGCATTGTTCACAAGGAATCAAGAATTGGACTTTAGTCATAATAATCATAAAACAGGCCTAATGTGAGAATCTACGAAATAACACATAACTTCGTTTATTAGAAATAATTTAGTGAAGATGAGAAATTGAGGGTTATTTATTGATAGGATAGTATAAAAAGAACAATAATCATAGCTTGAGAACTCTCAAATGGCCTAAAATAACTAGTAAGCCTACTAATTAATATTAAGCTATTCATCTTACACAAATTACTGCATCAGTTATTCACTCTTGATGAGTTCAGTTACAGTTTTCGCAATAATACATTTTCATTCCCTTTCTGATACCAGCATACTTCTCATGAACCCACACTTTACACGACGGACATAGAGTTATGTCTTCCTCGAAGTCATCACAACAGATAGAACAGAACCATGAATCCGCGTTGGAATTTATAGGCCTGTTTACTAAAGTTAGTGAAAGTTAAGCCTTCACTGTCTTCTCCGGCCCAGAAGTTTGGAATCGTCTTTTCATAGCGGTGCCTCTTCTTCCATTCTCTTCAGCCTCTTGCAGGGCTACTTGCTATGGGGTACTTGTTATCAGCATTGTTTTTGTGTTTTGTTTGAGTCTTTTATAACAGAGAATTTTAATGGAATCGGAGAGATTTCACACAAAGAAATTTTAACTTTTGACAGTAATATTAATGCATCAGCCAGAAGCGATTCTGATTCTATTTCACTGGTGGTTGCAACAGATTTTTCTCCCTGGAGCCTGCATGTCATGCGACATTTTACATGTAGAAGCAGTTAGGCTTGTATCAGGAACTTCTACAACAGGAACATCATATGGTTCAAACTTGAAAATGGGAGTTTTGAAATATATCTCTTTTAACTGGCCAAATTTTTGTTTTAGCAAAACATTTATTGCCATTCCTACTGTTGCTGCTTGTCCGTATGTTTTCCTAAACATTCTTGCTTTGTAGAACTGGTTGACAACTTCTAAGTTTCCTTCTCTCCGTCTTTGTCGTAGAAATATTTCCATTTCATTGAAGCAATAAAATTTCATTGATGTAAAATTGTTTAATTGATGTAACTGATATGCATTTGTTCTTCAACTCAAAATATTTATAAAATATTAGCCTCGATATGGCTTCCATGGTTGTCTCACCAGCCCATTCATAGAAACGCAGGCTGGCTCACTGAAGGCAACTAGCAATACCGACTGCTAGTTTGCCTTCAGTAATACGCCCACGATTTCGGTTATAAAAAACGAGCAAGCATTGTTAACACAGAGAAATAATGGTGATTTAATACGGTTTTAAATGTTACCAGTAACAATTAAAACACTATAAACGTATCATTGATATGTATATTTTCTTTACATTTATAAATTAGAAGAAGAAAAGTACAAAAATCTTACTTTCTTGTAAAGCATACGTGTTTGAGCATAGATCAACTCTTTCTCAAGATTCATTTAGTATACTAAACAGTCAACAGGGAGCGCCTACTGACAATAACTAGAAGATAATGGAGGTTGCTTCAACGAAGGACCCGGCTCATCGATAGCAACAATACCTACGTACATGCGTACATATGCTTTATTATTGAAATTCTTTAAATATAAAATAGCGTTTTAATATTTTGTGGCAGCAATTTGAAATGTGATACGACGCATTTTAGTGTTTCGACGCAAAATGGTATTTCGAGATTTATATATCATTCGGGACTAACGTCCCTTTTGACCTTTTTATTTTTTTTTTTTTTTATTTTTTTTTTTTTTTTTTTTTTTGTTTTTAGTTTTTAGCCCAAATGGGAAATTTGCCCAGAAGGACGTAATTTCGTTTTGGCATTATGCGTTGATTCAATAAAAGCCCTGTTTCACTTTTCAAATTGTTGCCTCCCTGTATTATATTTAAATAAATTATACAGAATCTGCATGAATGTATTTATGTTTCTCGCAGTGTGATAAAACAACAGTACCTAGAGACTTTAAATTTTGATTTTGAATATTGATTATAAATTTTGAAAATTCCACCCAAATACTGGCATCTGCAAGCCCACATTTCAAATTTGAAATTTGTTTTATAACCGATTTCATTTTTTGTAAAACCTTAATGAGTTTTTGGATAATAAACTCAAGGATTTCAAAGTGAGCAATGGCAACGTTGTACAGAGAAAAAAAAAGCATTTTCATCTCTAGCGCGCGAGACTATGTATCGGAAATTCTAAATATATGCTCATTTATTTTTCGATATTGCTCATGAACTGAATTTTATGGTGTAAGTGCGTTGAACAGGATATTTAATAAATAAAGGTAACACACAAAATGTTAAAAAAACGCTCCCTTTGGACGTAATTTAAAATCTGAAACCTTTTAGATTTTTTTTAATAGTTTTAATGTTCTTGCTATAGGAGTTTTTGTTGTTGTCTTGTCAATATTACATGGAACAATTATTGGCAAAGCCTACTCCAAAGAGAGTTTGAGCTTCTATTTTCCAACCTAATTTCGGGGGAGAGCACCGAGGGGGGATCCTGAGGAATCCCGCCCCTCTCCCCTTTCAACAGTCCACATGAGAGGACTTTCGGCTTGCCGCATATTTAGAGTGCCGCCATGCCTCACTGACACTATACATCCATGTATCCTCCGGTATTTGAATCCGGGCCCTTCGGTACCGTAGTAGGCTACCCTAACCACTATACCGTCTGGGTGATTGCCATAGGAGTTTTATAATAATTTAAATTTTTAATGGTTTGTTGATGGGATGAATTTAAACTTCACGTGACAGTTGCAGCACCTGTTGCACATTTACTATGGTTTAAAAATTTCATTTATGTTTAGAGTTCTCTCTACACAGCCTTTCACAAGTAATTTGTGATCAGGGCTAAAATCTGGAATTTTAATGACTTATGCTGGAATGCAAATCACTGCTTATGTAAATGCCAGATTCCTATTCCACACATTCACTGCTATGTGCATTATGTAGAAACAAATATACGGAAAACGTTTTACTGAAATTATATTAGTAGGAATAAATACTTTTCTTCAAAGTGATGTTGCAGAAATTTTCATCAAAAGAATAATTCTTCATAATATCTTAGCAAAAAGTATCCTCTTTCTCTTGATACATTTTATGCAGTAGGTACCTCGAAATAAGACTAACCGACGCTTGAGAATGTAAATATAAAACAGTGTTTACACAGTTTTGTATTTTTCGGCAAGGTATCAGTTTATCAAATGCTTTGGGTTATTACTAGACCTTAAATAAATTAATGTGTTTAAGCTATTACGGTTACACTAAACAATTTAAATACGAATTGATGGAAATAGTATAAAACCGCCGGAAGATTTCGGCATTTTAATCTTGTCACACGTTTGAAATGAGGGTAGTTTAAGAATAAAATATGTACATATATATAAGATAAATAATATTAAATTTAGCAGTAGGCTTTTAATGCCTCAGTATTAATTTTGGTATTTGTCTCTACTCTAAAAGCAGTAATAACTTTTCTAACCGCGTTCTTTCTAGATCAATCTATGTTACATGGCTTACGTAACGCCGATGACGTAGGTGATTCGGAATCTAAACTCAAAATTTTAAGAACTGAAACCTTCTAGTCTAAACCAAAATATTCTCTTGGTGAGCCTCCATACTGGATAATTGGGCACTGTAACTTCTGCCTCTCTAACTATTAAGACGCTATCATTTTCTTCCTATCGAAGCAGTATTAAAAATGTAAATGTCCTTGAATGGATCCAATTAAAGTGCCAAGTGTAATTTTTGCCACAAATATCTATTAAAATAAAAATGGAATTTAATCCCTTTCGATTGCGACGTTTCTTAGCCATTACGGATTCAACATTTTAGCATTATGACTGATCAGAATACTTTCTCTTCAGTATGGATCTGCGTGCTGCATAATGAGTATTTCTGTATTTTTACATCTCACAATCCAAATTTTGCTTTTATTACCAAAAAAATGTGTGTATCACCAGTATTTAGTGGGGAGATTACGATAAATATCTAAGATAAGTTTTGTTATATGTGTGTTTTTCAAAAATGTATATAAGACAAGCTTAACGTTGCAATATTTATTTCTTGCAAAAATAAGTTATTGAAATAGGCATTAGTTTGAATTCATTAGGAAATATGAACTGCATTAAGTTATTTATTTTAATATATGTATATGCTGTTAGTTCTTCGTTATTAAATTTGTTCTTTTATTTCACTAGGAGTAAAACCTAAAGTCAAAGACCACTATCATGCTCACCGATTGTCTTTCTGGCTGAATCTTATTCCAACTCTCCATCGAGCTGCAGTATCCGAATCAACAGCAAACCACCATCTTCTCGATGACCATGACAACCCTTTAACGTATGATGGCATTGTAAGAAGCAAAAGTCCGGGTGATACCATGGTAATGACTACACCTTCGACGACCAGCCCTTCGCTTTCCACCACTCCTCGTGGAAGCGGTATTAATACGAGCGCATATGCTACTCTAATTATTCTGGAAGAACGACCTACTGTTGCTGCCAAGTCCATGAACATAACGGACTCATTGGCAATGATATTTCAACAAGGTGCTTATTCTACAGCCCTCACTGTGACTATAGGAATTGGATGTTCACTTCTGCTTTTGAATATCATTATCTTTGCTGGTGTTTATCTAAATAGAGATCGGACGGTACATCATCATGTTGATTACAAAGAGAGATCGTAATAAACATAAATGTTACATACTGATATGTTACATGCTGTAAACAATGATCCAAACTTTTATTCGAAACAAACGTCCAAAGGATGACGTTTTTTGTGAAGACATCAAAGGTTCATTGATATTCTGTGTAAAGGAAAAGTACATCTGCTATTTTCTAAGCGAAGATGAATTTGAAGCAAACATTAGAATTGCATATCGAGAAACGAAGCGTTGATTTGTTTGAAGGTTTCTTCTGGTTCTTCAGACAACATCATGCGTTTATTTGAGAATAAAGTGCAGAAGGATTTATATTTGTGTACAAAATGAATAACATATAAATGTAAACTGGTTTAATTGCAACAGCATTTCCTTTAAGTTTCAACTCTTTAGTTTAAAAATAAGATTTTGTGTGACATAAAACATTTTTCCAGCATTTGCACAAGGAGAATGTTTTTCTAATGCTGAAGGTAGAATGATAATATCACGTTCTTTAAAGTAACGTAATCATCTTTCTTATTTTAAAATTATCAAAAATGTTATTTGTTATGAAATTCGTGGCAACAATAAAAACTATTATGTCTCACTGTCATAGAATCTGTTCATTTGCTCAATGGAACAAACATTATATATATGAATAACAACGTAAAGTTTTATAACATACTAACAAACGTTAGTTCATATAAGGTTCCAAAAATGCCATTATTAACCCATTAACCGCCAAAACTACAAGAAATGTTTCTTTTCTCATGAAAATAATAACAAATATTAAATTAAGCATTTATAACATAAATTTACATTAAAAATATAAAAAAAAATACTCTTATCTGTGGAAAACGCGAGTGTTGCGTTCGCGCAACGTCAGCGGAATAAGACTACGGATGTTTAGTGATTAGGATTGCACTCGTGTGATGTTTCTTATTGAGCGGAGCGCAGGATTACTTTTTAGCTGTATAACGTTTTATAAACCTTTGCAAATCACTTTACTTGTAATTAATAATTAAAATATACATTGTATTTCTTTTGACAAATACAGATTACTTCAACTTGAAAGATTCAAGGCATGAAAAGCTTCATTAAAATCACGATGTAAAGCTACATTACATACTTTGCATCTATAAACAAGTCCTGGCTATGGTACTCTTTACAGACAAAGTCTTTTTGTTATCAACGGACTTTACGATAAAATGTGTACTATCTCCATGCAATGGTTTTTGAATGCCGAATTTACTAGGTCTTCCTGTTGCTGATCTATTTCTGGCTAATTCTACACTCTCAATAGGAGTTTTCAAAAGGAATAATGCATTCTCCCTTCTGAAATCTAAAAGAGTTTATTTCCAGTAGTAAAAAGTGGTAATATTTAGTAAGTTTAGATACGGTCTCACCTCATATAATTTATGAGTATTGTCAATTTGACTATTTTCAAATGCAAATTCTGCTTCATATTCCTGTACTGCAAAGGCGATATCGATTCTCGTGCAACAGGAACAGAAATGTCCTTATCAAAACACCAATACATTTTTCTTGAGGTAAAGAATAATATCCTGTAAGCAATAATTTTCCAATAAATCTTCTTATATAGGCTTCAGATGCAATTTTTTTTTTTTTTTTTTTTTTTTTTTTTTTTTTCTGAGCGTATATATTTGTCTGTTCAGCGAGAAGAGAGTAAATATCTAAACAAAAACGAAAATTGAAAATCTGTGCACTAGTTTTACCTTGTATTTTGTTTTTTATAATTTCTCTTCTATCTCTTTTTTCATGTTCTTCCTGACATATAACTAACAGTTCCTTTTTTATCCACTTCAAGATTTCAATCTTCTGCTTTTTAAACTTTTTAGTATGACTATAACTGCTTTTAGAAGGCTGAAACTTACTTCTTACGTGAATTTCAACTTCCCCATCAGTATCATTTGGTAAAATATCATTATCATTATTTAAAACATTGCCATTCCTTTCTTCTTCGTCACTAATTTCTGCAATTTCTGGGGGAAAACAACAATATCAGTTTCGTTCTGGTCATTATTAACATTATCATCATCTATTTCTTCATCACAAAATCTTTGAAGGTCTTCTCCTAATGTAAAATACCTCATTCTAGGCATTTTTAAACAACCAGAACATGAACCAGAACATCGAAAGCAATGAGTGAAAAAGGAGATGGACTACCCGTTTCCTGCTGACGTTGCGTCAGCGTAACACCTGTTTTCTTTTGCTTCTCAACACAAATATAAACATCTGCCTGATGTAATGTTCTGATAAACGGTGACCTTGACTAAAAATAGATCACTCATAACTACGGCGATTCTTTCGTTAAATATTTTCAGCAAAAATACCCGGTAGAAAATTTTGCTTAAATTTTGCTTAAAGTATAAGATTAATTATTATGAACAAAATGATTGCTGAATGCAAATATTTTTTTACAGAAATAATCTTTATAATATTCCCTACACAAAATCATCTGCTTGTATAAAATATCTTAGGTAGTTATATTTATATACGCATTTATATTAACCGTTGCGTCAACGCAACATCAGCGGCTAATGGGTTAATAAAATTAACAAGGCTTGCATACCTAGTTTTCATTATCCACTAGCATGTCGAGAGAATGATAAATGAAGTTTGGTCTAATAGTATTTTCTTAAAATTACCGAGTAACCTTTTCTTTCTCTTAATTGAAGTATACTTAATTTTCCACAATGTTTTTTTGAATTCCTAAATACTGTTGCGTGCATACGGGTTTGTAATAGATAGAATGCACACAGGTCCGATGACAAGTTCATAAAATTTGTTTTATTAAAAATAAACGCTTCAATGTTCTGGAATTTTCCGCAGAAATACTGGTACAGGTGTTTATAGTATCACTGAGTAAAATCAGTAGTTAGGATTCAAATTACTAAGAACGTTACTGTGAGCTTACTTCAGATCAACTTTAATCAAACACTTCAGATTACTAAGAACGGTAAATACAACGCTATGAAAAGTGAGTCTAAATGGAAAGCTATTCCGGAAATATCTCTAATCTCACGCTGAACTAACAACAACAACAATAACTGCGAGCAGATGCTCTCTCCGGCATTGTGCAATTTTCAACTAGCCTCCGAGATATTTCTAGTACTTTCACCTTCTCTAAATTACTGTAAAAGCAATATTAGGGTCAAATTACAATTGCAGCAATTAGATTGATAAATTATATTTATTCAACTACAATACCTATTATGGTGGTACAGAGACCGGTCTCAAACGGCCTAAATTTCTTTAGATTTTTCGCGTTACATTACACAGAAAAATACAATTTCAGATACAATTGCACTAAAATCATCTATCTGTGTACAAAATTCGTAACAATATTTATTAATATCAGTTTTATGTAACTGCTTCTGTATCATGACAAAGAATCATGGGGATTACACAGAAGAAGGTACGCAATTGTTTAAGGATCAAATGCAGACAGCATAACACTGAAGTTTTTCAAAAATTTTTAGGAATAAATTAAAAAGTATTCATTGTTTCTGTGTTATTTATTGAACATAAATTGTTGTTATGTGTTATGATACATTGTACATTTAAAAGAATCTACTGTTCTAAATCTTTAACGATTAGTCGTAGATCATTGGATTTAATTAATGAAATAAATCAAATGATAAATTCTAAGACTGCAAAACGTTTGATCGCTTAACACGATTTAATAATAATACACGACGTTGAAATTTTTGTGTGTTCTAGATTGAGCCAATTCATAGCTGAAACATAGCCTACATTTTAAAAATAAAATCCCGGTTTTAAAATATGCATGCACAAATGATCACTCATTAAAAGAGCATAAAACGCCTAACAGAAACAATTTCTAAAATGCCGAAAACTGATAGCTTAAATTGCTGTCTTCCAACTAGGAAAAAAAATGATAATTGAATTCAGAGGTAGCATAAAAAATAATTCTATTATATAAAAAAAATTTTCGAATTCAGAATTTTGCAGATGGAAATTTGAAACACATGTTTCAGTTCGCTAACAATGTTCTAATTTTTTCTCGGCAGTTTGGTCATATAAGAAAAAATAGCGTTGCTTAATTCTATTGCTTAAATATGTTCCTAAACTACTACTTTTTTTACTCGAGGTCCGTTTAAATCTTTAAGCTTCAAATATTTTGAATAATGAAATTATATTCAAAAATTTTATTTTATTCTATTCCTTTTATAGCTGGAATCATAAGTCAAAGACCAACCTTTTAACAGACCATTATTCATACTTGCATAAATCAAAATTATTTGTGTGAATTTTAATTGCATCTTCGGTTCTGTTTTTTAGATGTTACAATGAAATCACTTCTATCTTCATTTTGTATAATAACGAGCACACGAATGGGGTTTATTTCTTTATTACGTTGACTGATAATACATTTTATTTTAATTATCAGACTATTTGTTTCAGAATTTTTATTTGTTTCAGAATGATTTTATTTTTAACTTCTACCAGAAATATCACCTACTTATGGGTTCCTTTTTCAGAAATTTTCTTTGAAGATGCCTCTCTTGCAGAACTGCTGTAGCAGTTGTAGTTACTATAGAGCACTTGTATATAAAATGCCGCTCAGACGGTATAGTCGTTTGAGGAGCCGACTGCAATACCAAAAGCCCGGGTTCAAATCCCGGAGAAGGCATGCTTGTAACTGGCCGCCCCTCCATGGGAGGAAATCATGTCTCACCTATTATGTGCCTCCACAATAAAGTGACCACCACTTCTGGCCTTAAGTAGTGGCCGAGCCGAAGTCGGCTGAGAGGCTGCCATTGGGGAAAAAAGGAAAACTTGCATATAAAATAAACAGAAAAATAGTTTACGTACACACGGGGTCACAATGCTATACTACTACAATAAACATAATACACTCGTACGAATGTTGTGTGAGGCACGTCAACTGAGAGAGAGAATAGGAAATGATTACCCATAGTCTATCAGTGACGAAAGACGAACCATCATTTCAGTAATGATCACATGAAGCTCGGAAGATAAAGCGCATGTGTTGTGTAGGTAAATTCTGCTAAGCAATTAATTTATGACTTATTAAAAATTAATTTATGACTTATTAAAAATTAATCTATGACTTATTAAAATTAATTTATGACTTATTAAAAATTAATTTATTTATATTCTAAATTATGCTGCACAACGTGTAATCAATCTCTATACTAAATTTTGTTTAACTTCAAATAGGGCCTTGGCACTTAAGAATTGTACACTTCACTCGTTATTCTGTGAACGCGCTGAACACACAATGGAATAAGGTATTTTCCACGTAATATTCTTGATTTTATGCTATTTATTTTAAGTTTACCTATTCATAACTTATACTTCTAAAAGCAGAAAAATTAGCTCTTCAATTTAAGACTACTTTCAAATCTTTAGCTACAACAGATTTTGAGTTACGGTATTTAACTAAATTTTGCAATTTCGGGCCATTTTTTGTAAATGGGGGGAGAGAATACAGAAAAACACAGTTTTGAGTAATATTTTAACTCTCCTGCTTTCACTGATAAGGTATTTCTGGTTGGGGTGAATAAATTTGCCAGTTCGGCCTTCGCAGATGGTTTTTGATTT